TAGAAAGCAAGAAATCACCCATCAGGAGGGATGGCCACACCACAATACCCTCTCCTCCATTCTTCTCTTGGGATCTTGGGCATGCATGCACATGCGCCTGGCATGAGTTTAAGCCACCGGGTCCGGGACTTGAACTACGGTCAACTACATGGGAGTTCAGTGACATAGCCATTATGCTAACTGCTGGTCCCTAAGCTTATATAATTTATATGATAATCTAACTTACACTTTTTAAAAGAGCTGTTTATTTAATTTTATTTATTTATTTTTAATTTGCTACACATGTACTCAGCAGAGAGAGCCAGAGAGAGAGAGGGAAAGTGAGAAAGCAAGCTGCCAGGTCCGGGACTCAAACTGTAGTCAGCCATGCGGAAGTCCAGTGCCTTGCAAACAGCATGCTATATTTTTAGAAGCAGTGTTAATTAAAAAAATAGTTTCTTTCTTTTAAATTTAAAATTTCCTTTGGATTACATGACTCTTACATAGTTTCTTCTGCTTTCCAACAATTTCTTTTTTTTTTTTTTTTGGAGAGGTTTTTGCTACAGGGTGCGTGCGCTCGCCAGCCAGCCAGAGAGAGACAATAGAGACAGAAAGCGAGAAAACACCCCCTGGGGGGATGGCCACACTGCAATCCCTTCTCCTCCATTCTCCTCTTGGGATCTTGGGCACACACGCACACGTGCCCGGCTTGAGTTTAAGCCACCGGGTCCGGGACTCCAACCACGGTTGACTACGTGGGAGTCCAGCGACAGCCATTAACGCTAACTGCTGGCCCCAGCCAACAATTTCTTACTTGAAAGGATGCTCAATATTCTTTTCTATACTAGGTTTATAGTTGTATGCACAGTATAAGCTTTGCATGCAGCATTTATAAATATCACATGGATAGTAAAAAGTATCAATAATTTTAGTAAATATTTTACATATATAGTAAGCACATGGTGCAGAGTAACTGCTCTATACTTTTGACTCTTATATAGTTTTGGGTACATATTAGGTATGTAATAAATAGTTTTTGAGTGAAAAAATTTCATTTACTTGTGTTTTTGAGAGAGGTTTTTTTTTTTTTTTTTTTTTTTTTCCATAGAGCACATGTGCTCGCCAGAGACAGACAAGAGACAGAAGAGAGAGAAAGAAAATGAGAAATTACCCCCATCCTTTGCAGTGCCTTCTCCATTCTCTTCATGGAATTTTGGGTATATATGCATGTGTGCCCAGTGTGAATTTCAAGCCACTGGGTCTGGGACTCGAACCATGGTCAGTCATGTGTGAGTCTAGTAACTACTATGCCATCTGTTAATCCTGAAAAAAAGTTTCTTTTATAAAAGACCTTTTTTTTTTTTTTTTAAATAGTTTTTTTCTATAGACCATGTGTAATCACTGGGGAGAGGAAATATGAAAAATCACCCCCCACAAGGATGACCACACTGAAATCCCTTTTCCTCAGTTCTCTTCTCTGAATTTTAGACATGCCCTGAATGATTTTCAAGTCTTTGGATCTGGGACTGAACCACAGAGTTGAGCATGTAGGATCTAGTACCTTAACCTCTATGCCACCTGCTGGACCCATAGGTAATTCTTTTTTTTTTTCTTTTTTTTGGGAGAGGTTTTTTGCTGTAGGGCACGTTCGCTTGCCAGACAGAGAGAGAGAGAGAGATAGAAAGCGAGAAATCACCCCCCAGGGGGGATGGTCACGCCACAATCCTTTCTCTTCCATTCTCCTCTCGGGATCTTGGGCACACATGCACACGTGTCTGCCGTGAGTTTTAAGCCACTGGGTCTGGGACTCGAACTGTGGTCCACTACATGGGAGTCCAGCGACATGGCATTACACTAACTGCTGGTCCCCACAGGTAATTCCTTATAAAACTATTTAGCCATATTTTAAATTTTTCAGTTTTTTTTTTTCCCCATTCTTTCCCATTGATCTGTATGTGTGTCCCTGAAGTAAGACAGCCCAGTCTTTATTACTGTAGTTTTATAGTAAGGCTTGATATCTGATGAAGGACCTTGTTCTTATTCAGAAATTTTTGGGGCTAGCTCCATAACCTAATGGTTGGTGAAGCTGGGTTTCTCATGGCTGACAGGCATCCAAATCCCAGACCTGGCAGCATGAAAAGCACGCTGTGTGTGTGTGTGTGTATACACGCGCATGGACTTGCGTGTGAGCGTGCGCACGCCAGCCTGCCCTAAATCCCAACAAGATAGAGAAATGGAGAAGAGATTGCACTGTGACCACACCCCCTAGGAGGGGTTCCCCTCCCAGTCACTCTTGTCATTCTCTCTGGTGAGTGCATATTGGCTGCAGTTAAAACTTTTCTTTTAGTTATTCTAGGTTCTTTTGTACATAAATTTTAGAAATGAACTTAGAAAATTCTACAAAAATTCTTCTTGAGATTTTGTTGAGAATCATACTTATAGAATAATTTTTAAAATGACATCTTTGGGGCTAGCAGGTGGTGTGGTAGTTAAGGCGCTGGACTGCCACATGTTTGACCATGGTTTAAGTCCTGGACCTGGAGGCTTGCTTTCTCACCACCTCCTTCCCCATCTCTCTCTGGCCAAATTAAAAAAAACAATAATAAAAAATAAAGTTGAATGGATAATTCTTTTTAAAAAATGTGATCTTTGTCATATGAGTTTTCTAATCTACATTTAAAAAATTTATTTTAGATATTCTTTTAAATCTTTCAGTAACTCATGAGATCTAAGTACATTAAGCTTTAAAAAATGGTTAGATTTTTGGTTCTTGTTTGTTACTTACATATCTTATAGAAGTAATCATTTCCAAATTAATGTCATGAATCATAAAAATGTAAAAAAATAAAGCCGTACAGAAGTGATTTCAGTAAAAAATGAAATTGAGAGTAAATTAGTATCTCTATTCTAGTGCTGTCCTCTGGATTATTCTGTGATAAGGGAAATATCTGTGATACCCATCATGGTGACCACTAGTTACATTTGGTCTTGAACATTTGAAGTGTGGCTTCTGCAACTGATGAACTGAACTTTAACATTGTATTTCATTTCAGTTTAAATTTCAATAGCCATATGTGATTAGTGGTTATGGTATTAAACTAATGTATAGCTTAGGTTTTATTGTAAATCTAATTACACACACACACACACTTCCTAGTTAGGATTTTAGGCGAGTGGTGCCATGCCTAACCTATTCAGGTTGGTTCAGGATCCAAACCTTAGCTCTACCAGTGGCTCTACTTCATGTCATAGCACCCTACTGCTTCTGCCACTGAGGGTGGGCCTGCTTTATTCTTTTCAGAAATACGATACAAATTGAGTTGCCTAGTAGTTAGTTTATGTATTTTAATTAACGAATACTTCATAGACTAAATATAAATCATTTCTTGTTTAGCACTTTCAAAGATTTTTACATCCCTGTCAGTACAATACACTTTTTATTCAGAATTGGTAAGAGGTGTGTCATTCTTTTTATTACTAGGTTAAAGGTACTAATGAAATGAGAATCAGGGAAGGAAAATCAATATGACCTTTCTACTTGGACCTCTGATCCATTGTTAGGTTCATTTTAAGAAAAGGTTGAGTATAGGGCCAGCAGGTTGCGTGGTGGTTAAGACGCTGGGTCTCCCACATTGCTAACCACGGTTTGAGTCTGGTGGCTTGCTTCTCACTTTCCCTCTTTCTCTCTCTCTCTCTCTCTCTCTCTCTGGTCAAATTAAAATAAATAATAAAATAGATAATGAAAACACATCTAAAAAAAAAGGTTGAGTATAAATGGAAATTGAAGACCTGGAATTGTTGTCAGTATTATTTATTTCTCTATATCTCTCAGGAAATCTATATACCTTCAGTAGTACATATACTGTAACAGTACTGTGAAAGATCCCTGATCTAATACATATAACAACCTCTGCCTCAGAGACAGGGAGACTGAGACTCAAGAAAGTGGTGAAGTATTTGTATATATGGTTTGATCAAAACCCCCAAAACTCTTTTTCCTTCTGTGTCATACTACTTAATATGTAGCCTGGTACATGGTAGATACTTACTATGTATTTAATGAATGAATAACTGCATGACGTTTTGTGTACTCTTTTTTTCTTTCTTTCTCTCTCTCTTTCTCTTTTTTTTTTTTTTTAACAGATTTTTGCCTTAGGGCACATGCGCTTGCTGGAGAGAGACAGAAAGAGACAGAGGAACGGAAAGTGAGAAATCACCTCCTTGGGGGATAGCCATGCTGTAATCCCTTCTCAGTTCTTCTCCCGAAATCTTGGGCACGAACACACATGTACCTGGCATGATTTTCAAGCCACTGGTCTGGGGCTCTAACTGCTGTCTGCCATGTGAGAGTCTAACAACGTAACCACTACGTTGCTGGCCTCTATTTTGTGTATTCTTAAAATACTTAATGTTGTAGTATTGAGTTGTCAGGAAAGTCATGATGCATTTTTGAGTAGAAAAGTACTTCACGAGTTTCCCGACAGCCTAATAGTCTTTTGAATTTTGTGTGGCTGAATGAGGTAACAGTATAGAAGACTGACTGCAGAAGAATATTGAAAGTATCTTGTGTTTTCAATACATGGTCACTTTGATCTCCTTTCAGTTCCTGAGACAATGAAAATGACTAATAGAACAGCAAAGAACCATCTGCTTAGGAATTTTTGGTATTTTATGGGTTAAATCAGATATATAATAGTGTAGTAGTGGGGCCAGCAGGTGGTATGGTGGTTAAGGCACTGAACTCCCACATGGCTGACTGTGGTTCAAGTGTCAGACCTGGCAGTGTGGATTCTCTCTCTCTCTCTTTCTCTCTGTCTCTCTCTGTCTCACTCTGGTCACATAAAAAAAATGATGATGAATAAAATGAAATAAATTAATTATTTATAAATAGTATAGTAGTGTTTGTTTGGTGGGGGTCAACTGACTGTAAATGATGCTACAATTAGATTTATATGATGCACATGTACTTCTGCGTTTATATGACCAATAAATATATATATATATATATTTCTGTGTTAAAGGTATTCTCTGAAACCAAATGACCAAATCCTGGCTGAAGACAAGCACAAGGAACTGTAAGTGCATTAAACCCTAGGTTGTATGTGGTTTACTCTGTTTATGAAGTAAATATATGTAAACAATTTGATTTTTTTAAAAAGTATATATAAAATGAAAAGATGTAATTTTAACACTATGGTTTTAATTTTAGGATTAAGATCATTGAAATTAAGTTAATAATTCTTGTATGCACATTAAGATATATAGAATTATATTTTATCATGCAGACTAAAGGAAGACTGGGAAATTTTTTTTTTCTTTCCTAAGATAAAATATTGTTAGTGTTAATTTTGGTGATAAAACCTTAACTATTATAAAAATATGGGTGGTCCAACCTACAGTAGTAGTGAGCCTCAAAATCTTCAAATTCTTAATGTTATAGGATTATTCGTCATTAGGTATTCACATATTAATGTTAGAATTTTTTCTCACTACATAATTGGGGAAAAGGTAGACTACCTAGAAAATAGAAGCATATCAATTATATTTTGTCTTCTCTCTTTGGATAATCTTAAGAGACTCAAAAAGTTGAGATGAATTAAAAATTCTCAAACCTGGGGCCAGCAGATACCCTGGTGGTTAAGACACTGAACACTCCCACATGGCCGACCATGGTTTGAGTCCTGGACCTGGTGGCTTGTTTTCTCTCTCTCTCTTTCTGTGTGTGTGTGTGTGTGTGTGTGTCTGGTCAAATTAAATGAATGAATAAATAAAATTAAATAATTCTTTTAAAAAATTCCCAAACTTATAATTTTATCCCATTTATAAACTTGGTAAATTTCTCAAACTTCCTTGGGAATTTCTGTGATGTCTGACACACTCTAATGTTAAAGACATTTTATTTTGATGTCTTACTCAGGTTCCTCTTGGATTAGCTAATGTAAACATCATTTGTACTTATCAATACAGAGAATAACTTTTTTTTTATAGATAGAGTACATCAAGATTATTATTTCCTTCTTGTAATTAAGTCATTTTTTTTTAAGTACTTTAAAATTCTGTCCTTACCTTTCTCAAATGATTCTCATTTTTCTTTCTTACTAAAGAGGTCGCAATGTTAATTACAAAATGATAGGACCAATGTTTAGGGAGAGGATTTCTTTCAGACTTCTTATAGTTTATATATCCTTTTGTCATGCTAGCCTTTCATTAATATTTATATATTTGTTCTTTCCTCATTTGATTTTAATTCCATACTGTGAAGAAATTTTGTGCAGTTTCTTTCTTTCCTGCCAAGTACAGTCAGTGAGGGTAGGTGATTATCACTGTAGCATTGGTTGCTTACTTGTTATTTATTTGTAGGTCTGGTAGCACAACTCTTTTGGCTTGGGAATTAAGCAGTCAGTCAGCCTAGAGATTCCTTTGGTCTTTGTAAACTATAAATAGTATTTAAAAATATCAGACATCTGTTTTTAAAGAATAAATCTGTATTATTTAGTATGTTCCATTTAACTGTGTTAACTTGTTTAAACATTTTTTAGCTACCCCAGATGTAGTTATCCCTGGGGAAATAATAATCCCACGATTTTCGTTTTTATATTTTATTATAAAAAATTTTAAACATATATCCATGCATATATTCACCATATAGAGTTTATTATTAACATGTTACTGTACTTACTTTATCACCTGTTTATTCTTTTATACACCTGTTTATGCACTTATATTGAGTCGTTGGAAAAGTTACGGCATGGTTTTCTATGCAAAAATGCATCATGACTTTTTTGATGACCCAATATTTTGGGAACATTTAAAAGTAAATTGCAGATATCAGTATGCTTCACCTAAAATTTGAACATAGATACCATCACCTACAATTCATTATTACAGGCTTTTATTTTTAAGTTTTGCATGTTGTGGAATTTTTTTTTTTTTTTTTCAATAAATGGAATCGTGGGACCAGCAGTTAGCGTAATGGCTAAGTCAGGAGCCAGCAAGTGGCATGCTGTTTGCAAGGCACTGGACTTCCGCATGGCTGACTACAGTTTGAGTCCCGGACCTGGCAGCTTGCTTTCTCACTTTCCCTCTCTCTCTCTGGCTCTCTCTGCTGAGTACATGTGTCCTGTAGCAAATTTAAAAAAATAAATAAAATTAAATAAACAGCTCTTTTAAAAAGTGTAAGTTAGATTATCATATAAATTATATAAGCTTAGGGACCAGCAGTTAGCATAATGACTATGTCACTGAACTCCCATGTAGTCGACCGCGGTTCGTGTCCCAGACTCGGTGGCTTAAAACTCACACCGGGCGCATGTACGTGCGTGCCCAATATCCCAAGAGGAGAATGGAGGAGAAGGGATTGTGGCGTGGCCATCCCCCCTGGGGGGTGATTTCTCGCTTTCTGTCTCTATGTCTCTGTCTGGTGAGTGCACGCGCCCTATAGCAAAAACCTCTCCAAAAAAAATAAATAAAATAAATAAATGGAATCGTAAGAAGGCTTTGTTTTGTATAAGGCCTCTTTCCATATGTTTTTAATATTTGTCTGTGTCGTGTTCTTCTTTAAAGGTATTTTTACTATATGGTATGTGACCTTGTTGGAGAGACAAAGGGAGAAAGAGAAAGTGAGAAATTACCCCCTGAGGGGATGGCCATACTGCTTTTAAGGTACCAGGTCTGGGACTCAAACTGTGGACAGCCATGTGGCAGTCCAACACCTTAGCCACTGTACCACCTGCTGGCCCCTCATCAGTGCTTTTGCAAGTATCAGTTAATTGCTTTTAATTGCTGGTTAACATTCCATAGTTTGTGTTTCCTCTTTGCTACTATTCTTAATTGTTTGATTTCTTATTACTTGATGCTCTTTTGTTTGGGAATGCCAAAGAGAATTAGGATTTCTAGGTCTGTCTCTCTGTGTTAGGAAAGACCAAAAGAGAGAGAGAAAAACCCGAAGGAAGATTTGGAAAAGAAAAGAGTTTTAGATTTTAGCTGAATTTTATGTATCATTTTTGAAATGAATCTTTTCCAGACTTTTTTCAATGTTTAATTGGATAGCAAATGTTCATGAAAGGGATTTTGGTTTTTTATTTGTTTTTGGTCTGGGTGAAATACAGAATTTTTGTATGGTAGAAAGGGCAAAAAGAAATATCTTAACAGGATCCCAAAATTCCACCAGGAAAGGCAGAACAAATGCTTTACATTTATAATTACCTGGAGTTTCTGCTCTCGTAGGATATTTCTGTTATCAAATTCTACTGCCGATTTTCCTATGTGGGAGTATGATTTCACTGCCACACTTTTCCTTTCTCCCTGAACCATTTTATATTAAATAATGAGTTATGTAATATGCTTGCACAGCTGTTTTCCCTACTACGATGTAAGTTTCTTGAGGACAGAAGGAATATGATTGACTTCTGACATGGAATTTAGAAAAATTAGCAAAACGATGTTAACCGTAAAGCTGGGGACTGAAACAATAAGGATGATAGGAAAGAACTTTGGATTTGCAAAAATTTTACTGTATTCCTCTTTAAGATGTAAAGATAAGTAGAATCATGCATGTATAAGCTTTAAAATATTTTGAGGATAATTGCTTTGAAACATTTGTTAATACTAAGTATCTTTATTCTGTTAAAATATGGTGTGTGCACTTGCAGACATTTAGTATAGTAGCACAAGTAAATTCAACGATGATTTTCATTCTGCATATTTGTTGACTAAATATATCAGAAAGTTCATTGAAAGAATAGATTGAACAGATTCGTTAATATAACAAGTTCATCCTTCATTATCTTGAAAGCATATATTATACCCTTAAAAGAATAGTGTTATTTTTCTTTTCCTATATAATAATTAAGTGTACTGATCTGTACCTATTTTGCTGGTATTCTTATTGTTTTTAATCTTTTAATCAGTTGCCTTCTCACAATCTTTAATCTGCTTCTTTTAGTCCTTGGATGAGATCTAGAGTGGACATTCCTGTACATTAGCATGGGCTACTTCAGTCCATTTCATTTTGAATTTGATTTACCCTGTGTATCACATGTAGTAGTGCTTCCCAGTATGTTCTGTATTATTAATTTAGTATTAACTTTAGAAATTGTCTAATGTTTTATCTGTGAAGTCATGGGGTTTATGCCTTAAATATAGAACTATTAAAGTAAAAAAAGTTTGCCCCTTACAGTTGTCTCAAGTATAGATTTACATCCGGTGCTTCTGTTGGGACCCACTGAAGACGTGACATTACATGTATGTCTACAAAGAAAATCGGAAAACAAACAAAAAACACATGAATTTAATTGTGACGAAAAGGCAAACCCAAATTAAACAACATTACAGACATTTTAAAAGAATTAATTAGAAAAGACACAGAAAAGCCTAGAAAGTTTTCCAGATTAACAGAAACTAAAGAAACAAAAACTAGGGACCAGCAGTTAGCATAATGGCTATGTCGCTGGACTCCCATGTAGGCGACCGTGGTTTGCGTCCCGGACCCGGTGGCTTTAAAACTCACGCCGGGCGTGTGTGCGTGCATGCGTGCGTGCCCAAGATCCCGAGAGGACAATGGAGGAGAAGGGATTGCAGCGTGACCATCCCCCCTGGGGGGTGATTTCTCGCTTTCTATCTCTCTGTCTCTGTCTGTCTGGCGAGCGCACATGCCCTATAGTGAAAAAAACCTCTCAAAAAAAAAAAAAACTAAATGTAATGCTTAAGTCTAGATGGGATCGAGAGGAGAGATACTTTAAAGAATATCATTGAGACAGTTACCAAAATTGAATATGTACTGTAGATTAGAGAGCAGTTTTGTATCACTGTTAAGTATCTTGAATTAAGGAGCCAGCAGATGGTGTAATAGCTACATCACTGGACTCCCATGTAGTCGACTACAGTTTGAAGTCCCGGACCCAATGGCTTAAACTCACGCTGGGCACATGTGTGTGCATGCTCAAGATCCTGAGAGAATAGAGGAGAAGGGATTGTGGCATGGCCATCCCCTGGGGGGGTGATTTCTTGCCTTCTGTCTCTCTCTCCCTCTCTCTCTCTCTCTCTGTCTTTCCGGTGAGTGTACATGCCCTATAGC